CCAGTGTCTATACAACATAACTTTACTGATGGACTGACTCTATCACTTATGTTACATGAGCATTCTTCATCCATTGTGTGTGTGTGTGTATGTGTGTGTGTGTGTGTGTGTGTCTGAATAGTTGGGCCAAACTCTTAAGGCTGTCACTCCATATAATTCTATTCCAATGGCTCATCAAAACATAGGGGTGACTCTGGGTTCTTGAAAGAAATACCAATAGAGCTCAAGCTCTATAAGATTCTACAAGGCTAGAAAGTGTACCTGTCCTGCTTTCTGAGGATCAGCCTAACTAAAAACAGAGACATTTGAGGAGTTTACTATAGGATTCAATAAATTACATCTAGCCCCAAAACATTACAGAATCTCCTAAACACTTTGAAATAAAAACACATAAAATGAATTAGACCCTGTTGTGAGCAACAAAAAATCCCAGGAAGAGGCTATTAAACTCTTTGAGTCCTAGCTTCCCTCAGCTTCCTATTAGTACTCAACTAATTAGTGGAAATGTTGATATTAAAAGATACATTTCCCAAACTGTACTAAATTCAGTCTCATAAAAAGATGTTGGGCAATATGCACTTCCAACAATTTAAGGGGGAATCTGGAGAAATAGGATGGAGATTTAAGTCACCAGGAATTTAAATGTCTCGTGGGAGTGGCCTTACAGCTAGTCTTGTCAATGCTTCTCTCCCACCCCACTCAGGCTAGAAGTTTAAGGCCTTCTCCCAGCCTGGTCTCATTCTGACTGACACAGGAGCTTTTCCCTGATCTGACCCAGGCTGACTTGCTCCTCTCCAAGCAATCCGATGTCCCCTCCACTCTCAGAGCAATCATTCTAACGCCAAGTTTATAGACATAAGATTAACTTCACCTGCTGGAGCTTTGAACTCCTGAGCTGAGATCCACCACCCTTAGCTTCTCCATTAGCTGAGACCACAGGTGTCCATCTCCATGCCCAGCTAGTCCTGTCGGTTCTAAAGTTATGTTTAGAGCTAATTCCTCCTCATAGGCATGGTAACAAAGCCTGTAAAATGACCACCAACCACCTCACTCCAGGAAAAGCAAGCAGAGCTAACACACTGGCTAGTTAAGGTATCTCTTGGCTAGTGCCACATGGGCTGACCACCCGAGGCAACCCATTTCCTTTACCTTCTCTCTCAATTTAATTTGCCTTGGATTGATCGATAACAACATTTCCTGACTTCTCAGATAATTAAGCTCTCCAGTGCTTGGTCTGCCCCCAGTTTGGATTCCTAAGGAACAAATCAACCTTTGGCTCTAATCTATGGTTCCCTCAAACACACACACACACACACACACACACACACACACACACAATGGAGAGGTAAAAGAAATATTCACTACATAAATAAGATATAGAAAGGTAGTTTATTCCCCCACAGAAAGGGGGATGCCAAGAAGTAAAGAATTATAGAATGATTAAAACAGAATCCAGTCATCTATCGCTACCAGTACAATCCAAGCCTCTCTGGGACACCAATACTTTCTCTGTGAAGCTGCTATTTGGCCCCTTCACTTTTGGCCTCCACTGAGCAGTGCAGTCAAACTCCAAAGGGGAAATTCTTTCCATTGGCCTTCCTTTCTCCCTAATGGCACACTCTTTCCTTGACACAAGTCTGCTCCCACTGCTACTTCACTTGCAACTTCCAGCAGACTCTGTTACTTCTCCCCAAAACTTAGAGGCCCTCCAGGAGATTTTGATGTTCACAAGGTCAATGCTAAATGAAGGGAACACCAAAGGTAACAAGAGATCCCAAATAAGCCTAAGAAGTTGAGGCACAACCGCAGTTATGACAGAGTAGAGAAGAGTCAGGTAGAAGAATTTTCTTGATTTCTACTCTCCAGCTATCTGACTTAGAATTTTTAAATTCCTATTTAACCCAATTAGTCTATGTCCCCAAATCTTATTACAGTGACTGTTCCTCCCACCCAAAAGAATCTCAAGGGACCCGTGAACAAATTGAGTTATTTACTCACTCCAGAGATCCATTTTGCTTGTCCTATAAATGAAATGAAGGCAAAAACTGAAAGACCAAATGAAGCATCTGGAATTTCTTTCTTTGTTTATTATATATATCTGCCAGCCACAAAATCACTGATCTTCATTTGTTTACCTCTGCCAAGCTATGTTTCCTCTTTCTACAACCAAAACATTTGTTTAATGATTAAGTAGTAAGCAATCCACAAGCATTTAAGCATCTTTTATGAACCAGGTTCTGAACTAGGAAAGGGAAATCCAAAGAAAAAAAAATTAAATAGCCCCTTCTTTCAAGGAATTGACAACATATAGTATAGAACAGCTAGGTGGCACAGTGGATAGAGTACCAGGACTAGAGTCTTTGCTCCCAGCATAAGGGAAACAGTAATAATAAACATATATAAAACACTTAATATGTGCTAGGCATTGGGCTAAACACTTTATAATTATTATCTCATTTGAATGGGGCAGCTAGGTGGCACTGTAGATAGAATACTAAGGCCTGGAGTTAGGAAGATTCCTCTTCCTGACTTCAAATCTGGCCTCAGACACTTAACTAGCTGAATGACCATAGGCAAGTCCCTTCACCTTGTTTGCCTCAGTTTCCTCATCTGTCAATTGAGCTAAAGAAGGAAATGACAAACCCCTCCAGTATCTTTGCCAAGAAATCCAAAAAGGGGTCACAAAGAGTCACATGTGACTGAAAACAACTGAAATGGTAGATGGAGATGCATATTAATATATGCAGAATATATATAAAATAAATGCGAGGTAGTATTGAGAGGGAAGGCACTAACGCCTGGATGAATCAGGAAGGACCTAATATAGGAGGACACTCTTGAGCCAAGTCTTGACATGTTAATCATGTGGAAAAGACTATGGGTTTTTAATTCCTGATTTAGCTACAAGATCTCAGATGGTGACCATAATCAGCAACTTCAAGCTTGAATGTGAAATGTACTGGATTTTAGGTAGACTCATTCTCATTTTCTTTGCATGTTTTATTAAGCAAAAAGTAGTAGGAAACAATTATTTTTTGTTTTTGTACTTGACACCTTCCCCCCAAAAAATCTGCTCAATGCTTATTTCCCTGCTATTTCTTCCAAAAACAGCCTGTGGTTTTTAATGTGACCTTCTATACCTTGGCCTTCCCAGGACACGTCTTTCAGGCACTGGGAAGATCTTGTAAAAACTAAATGAGTTGTTTCTCTGGGTGACATTTAAAGTAGGGCAACCACTTTTGCTCAACCACCTTTGCACAAGATTACTTGCATTCTGACGAGGTAAAGCAGGCAACTTAATTAATAAATTCTGAAACTTAATTTAGGGTCTGACATTTGTCTAAACCTATCTTCCATACTACAAAGATGCTCTTTCAGTTCAATTTAACAAACATTTATTGTATATCATGAAAAACAATGGCTGGCCATTAGGTTCAAATCAAAAATCCATGTTAAGCATCAGCTCACACAAAAACAAATGTACCTTTTTATATGTTTTTCATTAGATCAACTGATTTATATCTATTTTATATGGGGGAAAACAAATACAAATTCAGGTTTCACATTATAAAGTACCTGAACATATTGTACATCTTATCCTTAAGAGTATGCATATAAATGCAGTATAAAGGAAGAAATATTTTCTATTAAAAGAAATTTAATTTTTAAGTCAAAATAACTTTAAACAATTATCAAAAATGTTTTGCTGTGTGCCTTACCTTGCCTGATATAGACAGCGGTTAATGGGAGTTGTCACTGGAAAGAGTATATAAATGTAAGCTCTATTTGACCTGAGAGCAAACAAACTCTAAAGTCTAGTATAGAAAAAAATGCAGGGCATTAAGTAAAAAGGAAGAAAAGGAGTTTTCAGCAACAATCTGGTTAATGTTTTCATTGTAGATTATCAAAGCTGTTGATTCAGACTTCCAAGTATATTATCTGTGCTATCTTTATAGATCACATTAACCAGTCATATTTCTCCTTTTCAACGTGCTATGAAGACATAACCAAAAAGTAATCTGTTACTTCATTGTATGAGGATACTAAATGTATCGAGACATCTCCTTGTGTGAGGACTCTCTCTACCAATGCACATCTAAACTCATCTATAACTTATAGTTAAATTGCCTGGAGCCCTAAGAGGCTAGGCATCTTACCCACGGTGACGCAGCTTGTATGTATCAGAGGCAGGACGTGAACACAGGTCTTTATGACTTCAAGACCAGCCCTCTCTCTATGCCATCATTCTGCCTTTTATTCGCATCCCTCAGTAGCCTATTATTAGAAGATTATTGATAGAGGAAATCCAAGCATCTTTTCAGCTAGATACTTAAAGACCTATAATCCATATACTGAACACAGATCAAAGCAGCCATTAAAACTTTGGCATCAAAGCAAAGCCTTTTTAGATGAGTGAGCTCATTTCCTGAGGTTTCAGGAAAATTGTTGCATTACTTTTGTTTGTTTTAGTTTTTAATCAAAAGAAATTTCAACAACTGAGGCCACAGTGAATTTTAATTATAAATAAATAAATTGGCAGTAGGATGGGATAAAGGGAGGGAAATGTCAAAATAAAAGACTATAATGAAAGACATACACGGAGCCTTTCAAATGAAATTATTACTGTGATTGACCATCCAAGTGATAGAGTTGATGCCCTGTAAAAGCATTGTTTCATATGAACACCATCTATAATGGACTTGAATTTCAAAAATTATCTGAATATTTGCTACTCCTTAAAAGCACTTTAAGATGTCCTCAATATTTTGGTAAAATCTATTTCTAAGGTACATTTAGTTCAGTCTTTTGCTACTTTAACTTACTGCATGCCTGTCAGTATCAGCTTTACTTAAATACTTTATTCCTGCTACCAAGTATTTTTTATTCAACTATTCTAAACATACTAAGAAATCTTTGTTCTAACAGTAATAATATATCTTTTGTCACTGGTTCTGTTAATTCTAATGATTGGTCCTAGGCTGTTCCTCCCCTTCCTTTAGGAATGGTACCTTCCAGTCTCTCCATGTGCATGAAAAGTGACAAGCATGGGTCCCCATATTTCTACTTATTGGGCCACCCTAAAGACACGGTTTGTAAAATCTGCATGAATATTATCCTTCTCTAATAAGCTTTGTTTTCATATGTTTTTTTAACTGTTTTTAATGCTCCCTCTCTCTGAGTAGTTTTTCTAATTGATATTTTATACTGGCCAATATACAGTATTTAAGAGCATAGAATTAGTAAGGATGTCATTTGTGGGTGGGTGTTATAGGAAAATGTAGATAGAAAACCCTATTCGATATGCTATTTATTGTGACTAGAGGTATTATTATAGTATAATTCCCTGGGGTGAGGAAAAGGAAATATGGTACATTGAACTTTGAACAGAATCTGGCCGCATTATCTCAATTTAGTAACTTCACTCAATCCCTTTGAGCCCTGGATTAGATTACCTCAAAGGGCAATCAGACATTTACCCAGTACAGTCTTTAGAATAGTTTTCCCTTGGTCAGTAGGGTGGAGGAGGGAGGAACAATGGCCTAAACGCTGACCCTAGAAATATTGTCAAAAGGCCTGGCTTCATGGCAAATTGCCCATCATGCCTTATGAAGGTTATCCAATTCTGAGTTTTACTTTCCACACGCCTCATTCAACGTTACATTAAGCTGAAAGCTTTGTGTATTCATTAGAGATGTCTCTTTGAACTTCTTGCCACATTTTCCTCAAAACATTCAAAACTGTTAGGTATTTTTTAGCACACCGTTTGGCTGTATGTTATTTGGACAAAATACCATATTTATAAGGAAAATGGGTTATTAAATTATAGCCTTGCAGATGAGATTCAACTAGCTTTTCATCCCATTAACTTATTTATTGGACCAGCTCACATTTCTTCTCTTACTTCTATATTTACACAACTGTCGAGAGAGATATACCTGCAGTCTTATTATACTAAGAGAGACATTTGTATCAGTCTGGTTGTCTTAAAATGGAAACCAACATTCCTGTGTCTCCACAACATTGTGTGCTTGTAGAGATGTAAATCTGACTGACTCATCTTTCTGTATTTATTGTATTCATCCATCACTCGTTATTACGTTCTATCCTAATACCCACCTTCTTTATTACTACCAACACAAAGCTCAGCCCCTGAAAGACCATTCCCACTGTCACAAAGAAGTTTGGGTTTTGGGTTTTTGTTCATTTGTTTGTTTTTGTCAGACCTACAATTAGAGCAGAGAACTCCTGGTGATGAAACCTCTTTTATGAATAAAGGCAACTAAGACTTTAGACTTCAGAACAGTTGCAGATCCACTTTGGTAATTGAAACAAAGAGGTAAAGTACAAATTAACAGAACAAATTGATGCATTGACAATGTCTGACAATGCCCCGTTCCCCACCTATAGTCTTTCACCTCTCTACAAAGAAGAGTATATTTCATCATCATTCCTCTGCAATCAAGATTGATCTCCCCAAATTCCTCATATTTGTGAAATCTTACAGCTTAGTACCATTCCATCACATTCATATCCCAAATCAAGGGGTATCTACTTTGTTTCCAATTTCTTGTTGCCACAAAAAAATGTTGCTATAAATATTTTAGTATATTTGGGACCCATGCCCCACTATTGATATCCCTGAGTCAAATAATATGAACAATTTTAGTCACTTTTCTAGCATACTTATAAATTGTTTTCTAGAATGGTTGGAACAATTTATTGCTCCACTAATAGTATACATTTTATTGTACCTCTCTTCCCATGGCCTCTTCAAAGAAGATTATTTCTGTCTTTTACCTTCTGCAAAGTTCTTTTCAAGGCAGTTTCTCTGACTTTTGTCTGAAAAGCTTTTTTCCCATTACTGAAGCCCCTCCTGGTTATAGGCATAAATGTAATATTCTCCCAAAAATAGAATTAGTCTCTGGAAGAGTGAATTATTTAGCCAACCCATGCTGCTAAATGCTTCTTTGCCAGACCAAGTGGTGATGCCAAATATATCCTGTCCCAATCATTTCCTGCCAATGTCTCTAAAAATTGGAATTGTCATTTTCTCATATATTTGTAAGTGCTTGTCTCCCAAAAATACATTATAATGCAGAAGAAAGCTATCTATGAAATACAAAAGAAAGTCAGGCCATTTATTAAGAGTAATACTCCAGTGAAAAAGAAAAATCAGATTTTATTAAGGCATAGTTGTACAGTATTCATTGGGGAAATCTAATAGAAAGACCTCAGCTTAAAGTGGAGCAAAAATTCTATTTCTCTTTCTCAAAAAAAAATCTAGACCTACCATGTGGCTTTATTTCAAATAGTCCCGGGAGAGTTATAAAGGGTATGTGGGAAATTAATGTGAAGGGAGGGGGAAAAAACCCCTTTATTGAGTCACTGAAATGATTAAATGAATTGGGGAAATCTTTGTGGGCTCATTAACTACCCCAGGAGTCTTTGCCTTTGGAATTATGAATTACTGTTTCTTCAAGTAGTGTCCCACAGGAACAAAGAAATGCCATGTCTGCGAACATAGACATAGTTTCAAACTCACCACTTTCAGTAATATTAGTCTGGGACTTAAGAACTAGGTTCTCAGCTGCTCTGTCCCACGTGAGGCCTAGATCAATGATGAAACAAATTCCTGGGCAGAGAAAGAACCAATCCCTACCTGGGACCACAGAGGATCCAAGTTTTCATCAATCAATCAATAAACATTTATTAAGTACTGTGTTCCAGACATGTACTAAGGGCTGGAGTTGGAGAAAAGCATAAACCCCAAATCCAGAGTGGATTGGTACCAGGGTATTTGTGGAGCACCAATATCCAAGCGGCTGAGAGTAGTAGGAAAACCAGTTAGCATTGATTAGGGGCCAGAAAATTCTATATTACATTAGGAAGCCAAAATGAAGAGGGTACTGGGGAGTTAATAATTTGTCTGACTCAAACTGGCCCAAAGCTTTGACCTTTTTCAGTGTTGTTGTTTGTATTCATCCACAGCCACCTGGCACTCATATTCTGGCATGGTCATGGGTAAGATTTACCAAGCCATTTTCTAACTCAGCCACACCGTGTAGCAGCCATTGCTGCACAAATGGAGAGATCATAGATCAGCCACTACAGCACTGTCTGTATATCTTGGTTTTCCTGTGCCTAGAATGGAGTGATCCTGTACGTACCTATGACAATATCTTGAGGTTTAATTAATCTAGAATTTGTGAATAATTTTCAAAGCACTTTGAGATCTCTAACAAAACAAACCTTTGAGTGGTCACTAAATTAAATACTAGGTAACAAAATTTCAATGTTAAAAGTTTATATGGTAGATGAAGTTCATGATTGACATTCAACACATGAACATCTTGTAATATATAGCAGGCAATGAGATGGCAAAAATAAGAGGCTTCCCCTTCACAAGACAGAAAGACACCATATTGTCTGGGGGGATAGAGATCCCCTGGCCATGAGGCAAGAAATACTGCTCTAGAAGCAGGGAGAATTCTCATCTTGACAGATGGTAAGGTCTGCTGAAAGTCAGAGAAGAGAGAGAGGTCTCATTTATTCCACAAAGTCACAGTGGCTATTGCTGCTAGTACTCAGTGAGAGAGGGATGCAATCGCAACCACCCCAGCCTTTTCAAGCATGAGGTGGGGAGGGGGAAATGAAAGGGAGATTTGTTCCTAGCATTCTAAATCCCTAATGTCACAAGTACCAAATATGGTATTTTTCAAGTACATTACAGGTTTAAAAGGCTCTTGTGGACTGGCCTGAGAATGTACCCATTTTGGTATGTTGTTTAGATTGAGTTCTAAATCAATGACTTTGTGGAACACATACTGTTTGTAAGTAGGAAACTGACTGTATCTGAAATAGGTAGATTAAATTCATTGAAATAGTAAGGAATATAATTGCGTATACGGCTTGAATGTGCCATTTTTGTAAACAAAATTCAGTTTCTTGACTGTGGTGCAAATCACTAATACAAAGCTACTGTGTATCATCCTCCAGGGATATTTGTAGATCAAAAACAATTTGGAAGGTACTGCAGTTCTAGTTGGTCCTTTCATCTATTTGTCCGGACAGGAGATAACTCCCTCTCCAGCCCACAACACGTACTTTGCGGTTCCATCCAATGCCCTTTTCTCCCATCAGCCTCATACATTTTGTTTCAGACCTGATCAGGCTTTTTTCAGACTGACCAGAATCACAGCTAAAAGACACCTTAGATATCATCAAATCTACTTCCTACAGGCATCTTGGTAATGGAAATAGGGCAGGAGACTTGGAGTCAGTGAAATGTGAGACCAAATCCCACCTCAAACATTAGCCATGTAACCTTGGGCAAGTCACAACCTTTCTGTGTCTCTATCTCCTCATCAGGTTCAGTAGCTGCAAAGATCTCTGACAGTTCTAGGTCTCTGGTTCTCTGATGTCTCCCTCCCCATTTTAAAGTTGAGTGAACTGAGGCCCAGAAAAGTGAGGTGACTTGCTCAAAGCCAGACAGGTAGTTAAATAGCAAAGCCTAAATTCTAAATTGAATACTTCAAGGATCTGTGATTTTACAGTGTGTTTGCAAATACATTGGAACACTGGTTTGGAAGCCTGGATTTGGAGTCAGGAAAACCTGGGTTTAAACCGTTTCTCAGATGTTCACTGACTGTGTCACCTTTGGCAAATCAGCTCATTTTGCTGTGCCTCGGTTTCTTCATCTGTAAAATTAGGAGTTAGACTTAGCCTCTAAGATTCTTTTGAGCTGTAAATCTGTGATCCTGTTTATATTTCCTCCACCAGCTCAGATAAGAACGCTTTTTTGCATTGGTATATACGTTCTTTCAGATGTGTTCAAAAAATTTTCACCTTGTTGTCAGTCTGATGATGAGCCCTTCTGTATCTGGGTTTGCCTTCACGTAACGGAGATACCATCTCACCTTGAGCTTGTTCTTGAAGCTTGGTAGGTCTGGCAGAGATTTGCTTAGTTGGCAAAGTCTTTCCAGGTCACCTCCAAACTCACATGAGCCATTGGAATGGAGGATAGAATTAGAACTCTGTAGATATTAAATACTTCAGTATTCAAAGGTATAAGAAGTTAGATAAATCTCT